TAGACTTAATAGAAATCTTAGAGTGCATACCATGTATCAGTGAAAAAGTGAACTAACAAAATTGTACAAATTAGTGCAAAGTTTTGTAGGTCTACTGAGGTCTACTGAACTTACTAATTTGTGCAAATTTGTGCATTTACTTACAAAGTTTTTTACGAATATATATGGTATGTACTCTATCATGGAAAATCATTATCATTGAGGTGTAATGGTAGTTGTACTAATATATTTGCGTGACCACGGTGTATAACAAAAACTGCTCGATGTTATCTCAGACCRCTCCGTATACAGCATACAGCTAGATCCGTGACAGTGGCACATGTCACGCGACGTCATGGACACTAAAGTATACAAAATCATGGTTYGACAAAGCCATAATACAAAACAGGGCCGTTAGAAGGACAGACATCAGTTAAGGCCGAAGAATACAGTATGTAAAGTCTACTGTTCTGTAAGGAGGCTGAGTAGAGAACAATCGCCAGCCTTACCAGCTACAAGGAGTTTTTAAAAAAACTTATTAAATCTCGCCGCAAAACTTAGAATATAAACGTTGAACATCGGTTGCGGTACTGAGCCATAAAATTTACCTAAACCTGAGGTTATGTTTGTTAGGGCAATGACTTGGTTGCCGAACAAACTCAAGTCAGTTTGAATTTGGTATACTGACCCGAAGAGTAGAAAACGATCGAGAACCAGGGTACTTTGAACTGAATGGTCGACAGTGGACTACCCAGTCACATGAACTTAAAAGAGCAACTTCCACTCTACTGGTTTCTGAGATCTTCCCTTTGGCAGAGACGAGTTAAAGAGCATACATGAATGTTGAGTTGGTGCATTGTTTCATCAGCAAGCAGTTTTTATCAATTCGGTGGATGCCAGAAAATTTTTAGGGCCGGCGACTAGACGTGCCGGAATCTTTGCCGGAATGGATGGGAATCTATATGCTGGAACTGAGTTTAAAGTTGTTCTTCAGGTGTTTATCAGACGAGTTATCCCATTTTTCTCGTATCATGATTGCCCGGCAGCAGTTAACAAACCTGTTATCCTCGTTCCATGTTCGACTTAGATTTGAACACGTCACCGGTTAATTTTTAGGAATCGGAGAACACGACACTGGCTAACCTCAGACACTAACCATCAGTGGTTGGAAAACACTTTTCCTCTGTTTTTGCTAGTTAATACAGCTATTGTTATATAATATCTTCCTACTCTTTTGTTATTTATCAAGTCTGTGCTTGTAAAAATSTTTAATTTAGCTCTATTATTATGTTGACAATATCCATATAGTACGTTTTTGTGATTTCGCTTAGTCGCCAATATGTAAGAAGTATGTTTTATAGGTCTTTAATTAATTACAGAAGCAGTTCATAAGCCTGATGGTTTCAGGAGGCCTCCTTGCCATTTGTAAATTTCGTATAATGAATATCTATACTGTAAATCTATAATTAAATATGGCGAAAAAATAAATAAATAATAGTGCTGGCTGGTCAGTTTTATTCCACTGTCGATCCTACAGTTGACAAGCCAACTGAGTCGGCTGTGCTTCAAGCCGGGGTTTCCTATGAGGGACACAGAAATCTTAATTCCTTAGTTAAGCAAGCGCGACATTTTACAGTTTTGGTTATACTGTATTCAGTCCAGTTTCTTATGCTTTCACTGAGTTTATAAACGCCGGTTTCACTACCTGCTTTTCTCTTTATAAGCCAGTAAAAAAAACCCGTAAATAAAGGGGGAAAAAAATATACAATCAGTTCAAGTCGAATCTATTTTCTCCCATAAATAAGCTAGATTACAGATTTCTGACGAGCTATACATGACTTTCGACTGAAACTGGTTTCGCTCAATGCTCACCAAGAAAAAAGTAATGAATTAATAAAGGTTTTTTTGATTGAAAGAATCAACAAATTTGCCTGATCTCATATCGAAGTTTTATCGGTGAAAAATAACGTTGAAGAATTTCTCAAAAAACCAGACCACGAGACTTGATTTTTAAGCATTGTCATCGGTGAATCCTAATTATTTTTTACGTTGAAAATTGTTTCAGTTTAGACCATGTTTGGAGGGGGGGGGAATTACCTGACATTTTCCGACTGCTTCAACTTCGATGTGAAGGACTTGAGCCACTGAACCGTTCATCGCTATGGCAAACGTATTTTGCATATCCACCTAAACCGAGTAAGCCACTCTCTTAAAAATCCCCAAGTATCCCCATAATTCTGAGGACAGTTATTTCTTATCCCTAAAAGCATCAAAACCATATTATAACTCGTAAAAAAATAAGTATGGTGGCCACGGTTAGGCGCGTCGCACTGTAACTAATGAATCCTATAACTCGAGTAGTAATGTGTAATTGGCGTTATTTTATTCACTGTTGGTGATGAAAAAAAAAAAACAAGTTATAGTACCGTACGTTTATTGTGAGGTTTTACAATAGTTTCCTCTCAAAATAAAGACTTTACTGGCATACTTACTAAAATGTTTTTTATAAGTCGTCCCGTTTATAAGCCCAGTAGTCGACTACGCAATTATCATTCCAGACCTAAGCCCACCTCTCCCGAATCTGGTGTTTATTTCGGTTGAGCTTGGAATTAGACTCTTCCAGTCTCTCGCTCGGCTTCGGAACTCTACTCTTCACGCTTAGAGACCCTTAGCGTGGAGAGTGTAGTCGCCTAGCTTTGAATAAACCCAGGCTTATGACCGAGATTTTCTCATTACTTCGTTTCTACATTGAGACTATTTATAAAACGTAACTCCAGCTGTCCCAAGCTCAGCCGAAAAGCGCAGTAAGAGATAGACTGGGAACATTCCWAACTTTTTTTCTCCTGGGGACGGTGGTTGTACAAAGAATTGATAGCGTCGTATCAGAAAGTCAAATCCTTATCCAGTGATAAGTTGATGCTGTTATCCAATAAATTTTTTCCACTAGATAAGATTTATTCAACCGGGTCCTGGTTATGAGTCCCCCCCTCGCTCTCTCCCTCTGGCCCCGAATATAAACCCTCCCGGTTCGGCGGACCATTTTAAAAACTCTTACAAATGAGTATAATAACCGGGATTTTATGGTTTCTCATTATTTCGAACAATAATCATTTTATTAACAATAGCAACTTTGTAATTGTACTGATTTTATGAAATCCTCACTCCCTGTCCGCTCTGAGATTCGGCTATAAGAATAATATTTCTACAGTAAAGGTATCAATTTTTCATTTTTATCCTTTCAACTGTGCATACTTAGTCCCCCCTCTAGTAACTATGAACTGTGCTAGCCCGATATAAAACCCTCTCACTTTGACTTTCTACGATATCTACAGTATCTAGGTATATATTTTCCATTTATATTGTAAGAGATGTCTAAAGTTATGAGTTGGCTGTTCTTTCCAGTGTTTTGCAAGCTTCTTTGAGTTTTCCCACGASGTCCTGAAATAAATAAAACATGGCGAATGATATTGATAATATTGATATGAAGGTCAGGGCAGAAAAACGACAAGCACGCTTCTTTCACGATTTTTTTATTTAACTGAGTTTAATACTCCAAATTTTTAAGCGTTTCACTTGTGTTACTGCTACTCGAAACTTGTGACGAAATTTTGTCGAATTAGAGTAAATCTACTTATTAGTATTCACGAAAATGTCACTTTTTCTGATGATCAAAATATCACCTCTCCCAAAGTACACGCCTTTATATCTCAAATACGCATTCAAGAAATTTGGGTCGCATTTGATATTTTGCTATTCGGCTCCAAAAGAACGTGTTTACAAAATATTGAGCTTAAATACTTAAAGCTGTGCTTATGGCGAAAGGTCGAAAACCGTTTTTCTGCCCTGTCGATATGAAGGCAGTCGTGGTTCTTTTCCCTTGGCAGGCCTTTGAACTCATTTTATCGATCGAGATCATGAATAATATTAAGGGAATTATAAATTCAAAGAATATGCCCCCCAGAGGGTTTTACAATAGAAGAAATACGGTTTTTCACATCTTTTTTTTTTGTCAGTCTCAGAGGTAAGTACATGTAGAAGGTTAAGGATGGATGGATGGACGGACGTAATCAATACAGAAACTAACCTGCAATTGTTCCATTGAACACGAAAACTGGACATCTTTTCCACTGGCACAACCAGGTTCCTGACGGAGCAGAGACAACAGATATAAAGGACATTATAAAAATTATTCATTTGGTATCTGAATTTATTGTGAGATACTTGACTATATCTTGGGCGGATATGGGGGAGGGAAGGGACGAGAGAGGGATGGGTTAGGAGTTTGTCCAAACCTGTTTTTTTAGGTTCACTAAACTTCGATCCTTTTTGGTTCGGTTTGTTCGGCAAGTATGAGCCCCCCTAGTCAAAATCCTGCATCCTCTCCTGTATATGGTCACATTACCTCAGTTTTGAGAGTAATCAGGTAAATAGGCTTATTTACTTTTTCCATATGATTGTTCTGCAATGATAAAATGGAAGTACTGTCACTAAGTCCACATAATAGTCAAAAGTATTTTTCTGAGTATCAATATACATCATTGCTTAAGCAGAATGTTTTCCCATTTCAGACGTGTCATTTCCTTTAGAGTATCATTCCTATACCAAGTGGTTTTTAGTAACCCATGAAACATAGTGTACTAATTAGAGTGTACTAGTCAGATAAACACAATAGAAAACAAAAGAATGAGTGTAATACCTTTAGTTGTACTAAATAAGCTAAAAGTGTATTTCATGGGTTTATGACAACCACTGTACTATAATTGTTTGTCTACCTTGATATAGTAATCTAATCTCCAATCAACATCAACAACATGAGGGTAAGAGCTGCCAGTACTGAAATAATGAAATTCATGAAAATTAGTTTTAAATCATATGCATGCAAATTGTGGTAACGGGATATTGATATTTTCTCCTTTTTCAAATTTTCTTTTTTGTTTTATGGTAATATTAGCCTGTGTGCATAAGTATTGGTGAAACTCAAATAGTAAATATTAAGTTAATGATATTTAAATGCTTATTCAGTGCTTGACACTATACTGCTAGTCCACTAGTCAGGGACTAGTACATGTACATCTTTGCTCTGAATTACATGTATAGGACTCACTAGTCCATAGGCTAGTGGGGTCTTTGAATAATTAGTAATTATTATCTGGACTAGTAGATTACTCTGCTGGTGTACTGGACTTATACCATTTTTAGCCCATTGCCTACTGTAGTATTTAAAAAAGTTAGTGTGGAGCACTGTCAGAGTGCAAACAATATATCCGTGAAACCCTAATTACTAAATTATTCAAAATAGTGCTAAACAAAAGAAAACGATGGAATTAGCATAAAATAGTCTACAAACTAGTATTACTAATATTTCACGGATATATTGTTTGCATTCTATCAATAAATCCTTTACCAGATTCTCTATTCAGATTGCACATGCACAACTATGTCAAACTCATCATATTACTAAAATTGTTGCTGTTCTAATGATTTACCTGCTAAGCATAGCCTCTATTTCTACCTTCTTCTCCTGAAACAGAAAAAAAAGCACTCACATTATATGATTTGTTTGTGGAGATTTCAATATCTTATTCGTAAAGGGAAGAAACATATAAGGTACATATCATACATAATATATTAATCAATAAAAGAATTAAAAAAAAAATTGGAAATATCTTATCTATCATAAAAAAATAGGAGCTCAATAAAATCAGAACTTGATACAACTTATCTAGCTCACTTCTAATAATTAGAAGTAAGAAATATTTTTAGAGTCTTTAATCTTTCCGCAGTTTGCTAGTTTTTTTCTAATTTTTTCTTTTTCTTAGTTACTTACACCTAATTGAATAAATGTTGTTGGGTTCAAAAAAAGGTTATATCATCAAAGCTAAGACCGAAGGGGAGCGTGGGAAGACAAACAATTATTTTGCTAATTTCATGCGTATTGCAGTTTTCCCTTCCTGTGCACATTTTATGCATYATGGCTTTGGCATGTTGTTAATCTAGTCGACCGACTTTGCTCTACAGTGAATTTTTAGATGTCTATATGAAATATTAGAAAACACATTAATAATTCATGAAGTAAACACAATAGAAATCATGACCATGAAGGAGGTTTTATATCTGATTTAAAACACTCATTAATAATTCATAAGCTTATGTCCAATTGGAGCCACCATACACATCACGTGCATGAACCTTTATACCCGATAAAGTCCTCTTCATTAGTATTCAAGTGATTTTATATAAAGACACATGTGTCTTTATATAAAGACACATGTGTCTTTATATAAAGACACATGTGATCTTTATATAAAGACCACTCGAATACTATGAGGATGACTTCATCAGGGATGATAAATATATATCCAAGTTTAGATGAAGACATAGAGCTTCATCAAGGCCATAGTCAACCCTAATGATCTTTGACTAACGTGCCTGTCTTTGCCTTGGCACGCAATATCCAATGTGTGGGAGCATCTATTGAATCTGGTTGCGCATGCCCGTGACGTCAAATCTTTATCAAAGTATAAAAATCCATGTTCGTGACGTGTATGGTGGCTCCAGTTGAACCAAAATCTTATAAATTGTTCATGTGTGTTTTAAGCAGTTCAAAAAACTTGTAGATCATGTTTTATCAGGTATAAAAGCACTCGGCTACGCCTCGTGCTTTTATACCTGATAAAACACTCCTCGTTTTTTAAACACTACATAGATTCGTCTTCATTTGCATAAATTTGAACTTGGATTTTCTCTATCAAACTTGGTTTATTTCGTAAAGAATTCGGTACACTATGAGAACAAACATCATGAGTTTTCTAAGCTGTTTAATAAACTTGCAGATCATGTTTTATCGGGTCTAAAACCACTCGGCTACACCTTGTGTTTTATACCCGATAAAACACTCCTGCTCATTTATTAAACATTACTAAAATCCTTTTCTGTCTTAGCTTCGATGATATGACCTTCTCGAACCCTACTATATTTTTTCAATTAAGCCTCTTAAATTTGATCTTAAATTCGTAAAATATTCACTTATACGTAGATAGGAACTCTTGAATGTATTTTAATCTCTCCCTTACAACTCTGACAACTGGCGAAACCCGCAAAATCCTTCATTATGATTTTGACAGCTTCTGCGTCAAATTATACTTGCTGATGCACATGACATGTATCCAGTGAAATTACAAAGAAACAAAAAAAAACTGGCTTCATGGATGACGGAATTATCAAAAGAAACATTCTCCTAAAGAATTAAGGGAGAAGGTAGAGAGACTCTGCTCAGTGACTCAGGGAAGGTCTATGATTTTGTGGATGTTCTCTGTGCAAATACAATACGTGAGTTAACTTTTTTCAAAATTTTCTTTGCCTTGCTGTGAGGSTTTAAATTGAACATGCATGGAATATTTGAATGCAAACTAGGAGTTGGTACATGTACAAGCTTGCATGATAGCTACAATAATGACTGTGTTTTTAGTATGCAAGCAAGTTCAGCTTATATTTTACACACCACCACCATATATAAAGAATTTTTTCAAAGCATATTATATGCATAAATGTATGATGTATAATACACATGTACCGCTATTTAAAAAAAGATTGAATACTGAATAGTGCATACTGAATAGTGCATTCCAAGAATGAAGTGCATTGTGGGTCATAGCGACATTGCCTAAAGTAGGATTAATAATAATWATTTATTCTATTTTTAGTGTATTCCATCCGAAACAATATACTATCTACATGTAGAGAGTTAATTGCGGTATATTTACTTTTCATTTCTGTAGGTATATGCACGTAGATATGCTATTTATTATACCTGGTAGATTTTWAAGAAATAATCAATCCTATCTGTTCCAAATTTGCAGTCTTCAAGAGTAGAACTAAAGAAACAAAGAAAAAARATCAGTAGTTATGGCAATGTTTATCATATGAAGCATATCACACATAAATAAATTAAAAAAATAATAAGCTGAATACTAGTGAAAGTCTTACAGTGGAAAGCTCAAAGTTGTGACCACTGTTAATGTATTTGCAAGCATACTTTTGTCTTGCCATCCTCCAATTAGTGTTTAGATCAGAAATAAGATAAGACAATTCTACAACGCTGATTGGTAATGGCCAAGAAAAAAAGTATGTGAATACAATATTGGTGGGTATACATGTATCTTAAGGCATCACACCTGTAAAAGCTGCTTCGACATTTTGCAATGAAATGCAAATTCAATTTTTTGGTGTATTGAAGGATGAGAAAAAATGACATTATGCATCAAAATCATGAGTTGATTATTTGTAATAATAGCAGCAAAAATATCGCAAAAAGATCAAATAATGTAATTTTCTCTGCAATATTCTGAATCAAGTGTATCAATTAACGCCATTTGCATTGCTACGTGGCCACCCCAGACAAAAAACATGACTTGCACTTTGCAATAGACTGCCGTCAATCAAACACGTTGACGTCATTTACACACGTTTGGATCAGCCCAGATAGGCCTGGTGAGTGTGGCTCATAATACTTGTAAACAATCAACAAGTTTTGGCGCCTTTTGAATCACACACGCATGTAAATGATGTCAACATGTTGATTGACGGCAGTCTATTACAAAGTGCACGTTGTGATTTTTGTCTGGGGTGGCTGCATAGCAATGCAAATGGCAGTAATACAAAGGCTGCAACGCAATTAACAGCTACACCATCACCACTTTCAAGGTCGTTCAATTCTGTAATCCTTGATCATTAACATGAAAGATGCTTCCAATATCTTTGCAAACCAAACACAATAAATTCACTTAAGTTTTACTATAAATAATCTATACATTAATAATCTATATATATTCTTTTTTTTTTTTTTTTGCATTTAACATTTTTATTAGTAAGATATTGTTAGTTATATAATTCTAGTTTTGTAAATAGTTATTGAAAAGCCCTCTTGGGAGAATACTATTCAAGTTTATTATTGTTATTATTACCTTATAGTAGTATTATTGCAGTCTATTTTCACAGCTTCCAATACAAGGGTCACTAAACTAGTATACATCTGCTTCAAAACTGCGGCATCTACAGAAGACAAGTCTTCACCTAAAAAAGAATGACAAATATAATAATATAATAATAATAATATATATGGCTTATATAGCGCTTATACAAGTCTGTTCTAAGCGCTTAGTAACATAACGTTAAAGGAATAAATAAATAAGATAGATA